GTTTCATGAGAACACCTTCAACATAAGTACATCTGACAGGATGGATCGATCGACTGAGTCGAACACACTCTTGAATTCCAGGAACACAAGTATTGTCAACCTACTGCGCTGCTGTAGCACTTGTTGCAGAGTGCATCTATGGTTTATACAGCCTCCTCTTGGGTGGAAGCCTGCTTGCTGTTCCCAAATCCGGGCTTATCGTTCCGCAGTGAAGCGACGAACAGGAATTGAGGCCAGTAACTTTGTCACCGCTGGTGTTAGGCTAATGCCCCTGTGGCTAGCACAGTCGGTGCGACTCTCCTTCTTGCATATTGCCACTACAATCCATTCACTCTAGATAACCGGGATGGTCTCTTCCTTTTAAAGCTGTTTGAACAGAAGTCAGGGCTTTGTAGAAGTTGTGCGACTGCAAGGGAACCCGAGTTAGCAACAGGAAAACCTTTAAGGGCCGCGGTCGTATTTCGGACCACAGCCTCTGACGGTGCCTCTAAACTAACGGACCATGATTCAGCCTGCATCACCTGAAAATGAAGGTGTCCTGAGCTGGGGGACAACTGAATCGATCTTGAACGCGCTTACCTCGAGCCATACGGCTTTCCTTATTGCGAATAATAGTCACCGCGCTGACACCTGGTTTCCTGGGCCCAGTGTGCGCATCAGCTGGAAAAGCTTGCAATGATTTCCTACTGTTCCCGTCTCTTCTATTTCTTGACGCCGACTTTTCCATTAGGCTTCGTTTCAGCGCAAATGCTCCGCTTTATTTCGCGTCGTCTGGTCACACGGTGCTGAGAGCCAGTCGGGAGTTTTCTTATGGATTTTAACAGGTTCGCCGACCTCTCGGATATCCAGTGGCTGGTCCGGTGATGATTGGTAGGGCCGAAAGCAGAGGCTCCCTCATCGTGCATGGCTGCCGAGATCCTATTCTATTGAAGCTGAATTTTATTAGGATGAAGGAACGAATGTTCGATACGCATGACATCCTGGTAGGCTTGCTTGACGTAGGCCTTAGATGACTCGATCGCCAATGAAGAGTGGTCTTTGGTGCTCCTCAGTATAGTTCATGGAAGTACGGCAAACTACCAAAGCATGACGCTAGTCGACTCAGTTATTCCAAAACGAACGGCAATTCTGAATGCCACCTCTAACTTATGACGCCATGATCAATTTGCGTTTATTATTCCTTATATTTCATCATACACGCTAGGTGCAGGTGGAAAACGTCTCAGCCATGGTGCCGCAATCAATCATCTTGAGTCCGAGACTGCTCAGCTATAGGTGGACGCCAAGTGGCACTTCGGCGCCCATTGTGTCTAAAAGCTGTGCTACTACGAAACAGCCGGTGATCCACATACAGTTAAGATAGACGCTCTACGTTGTCCATCCATCTAGATGAACTTCGAAAGAGCTCAGACGACTTACTTGCACAATCATATCCCTAAAGAACTTTAAACCACCAACAAACAACGTCTTTTGCTTTGCGAATCAATGTTAGTTGATGTCATCAAATGAGCTGCACACAAACGGATGTTCACATTAATTCAATCAACTAACAGTGACCAGTTATCGCCCCATCAGCCTCTCATGATTTTGCAACCAATAGCGAGAGGCATCAGCAGTACGCCAATACGCAGTACCGATGCTTCGCTGCAGCGCAACCACCACCATTCGCGCGTGGGTTAGGGATACTGCTAGCCACTCGGTCCCTACGCAGGCTCGAACCCGCACCCCCGGATTACAATGTAGGCTTGTGATCCCTGAGGCTACGGGCCGGCAAAAACGAGCGGACAGGCCGGATGCAGTTAATTCAACAACCTCGTTAAGGTCATTGATCTTAGTTTCAGACCCACAGCAGATGTCCAACGTGCATGCGAGTGTAGCCTGTTAACCTGTCTGTCCTAGAGTGCGAACGTTGAACGTCGCTAGGGAAACGGAGCGGTGTGGCCTTATATGGATCTGTTGCCGATTGGCATCCAGTAGGTGGTGCCGAATGCTAGTTGAAAATGGTATGGCTTTGTTTACATTGCGGCTGCTGGGAATTGTAGAAGAAAGGCTAGTAATGGGGTTGGGAGGGGAGTAAGAGAAACAGGTGGAAAGGAGAGGGGAGGCGCTAGCAGAAGCATATTTTCGCTTATCCGCCCTATTGTATGCAGCAGATAAGGCGACCCTTGCTAATCTGCGTGACGGCCAATGCAATATATGGTTGAATCTTGAAGAAATAGTCATGGTTGTACGCGGGCTGATAAACTGGCAAGACGCCCAGACCTAGACTAGAAGACGTATGAGGTCCTCAACAAAAGTCTTTGGCTCAGAAACCTGTCCGCAAGACAGCCGATGTGGTAACGATTCAGTTTTACATAAATGGATGCCATTCCATTTTCAATCCTTAACTTGGAGTACCTGAAGACTGAGTTCGTTTGATCTATAACCGTTGACGAACCTGGCAGGATTAGGTCTCATGGGGGGGCAAGAGCCCCGCCCAGTTTAACTCAAACGATTAAAGTGGCACGCAAGCCGTCGCACCACGTTAAGGTCCAGTCTCGTTACGACAGTCCCAGTGTCCAAACGAGTGTGTTTACTCCTAGGCGTGCCCCCTATGCTAATGCATGCAGCCACACATACCAACGCATGCTCAGATTCGATGCAAGTTAATCGATAGGATCTGCAGTCTCGAACACTGCCACATCACCGGCCACTTATGACGATGTGGTGGATCTGAAACCATTGTTGTGACGATGATCAAGCACATCGGGTAGCGTATTTGCATCTCAGGTGACGAAAGTTCACGTTCGATCAGTAAAGTTGGTGGTCGGCGCTTAGGCTGAGCAGCCATTTTCGATTCTCTGGGCGAACCTTACCGTATCCAAGCAGACCTCCGAGATGGCGTTCGCTTGGCAGTAAACGACCAACACGGGTTGGAATAATCCGCGATAGACGTTTGTCGTTAGCGACTACCGCTACTCTTCTGATATTTCAACATAAAGATATGCTCCGGAGAAGTCCATTCTGGCAAAACTTGCCACCATTCAAACATGCCAAGAGGTCTTCAGAAAGGAGCGTCGGATGGTCTTCCAACTCAACATTTAATGCTGTAGAATAGTCTGGGCATAGGTGAATCTTTCCATTTATCTACTTGACAATCACGTTTGGGGTTTCGCATGACGACTTGATAACTCCGGTCGATTGTAGCCTCTCAAGTTCTTGGTCAACCACTGAGACGACCGCATTTGGAACTGGCCTCTTTGGTTGGAAGACTAGTCTCGCGTCTGCCATCAGGGGTAAACTAGCCTTAGTTTTCGTGCACAACTCCAGAATTTCCTTAAAAACTTCATCTGTAAGGTCTGTCAAATACGCAACATCATTGCTTACTTTGTTGCATACGGATTCAAAAGGATATCAAGCAGTTTCATATTACAAATTCAGTTAAAGCCAAGTAACCTTAGCTTGCGGTATATTGTTACATAACCAACCCCCCTATGCAACAGGACAAGAAATTTCGCCATCGAGGTTCAGCACTCCTGGAGCGTTGGTTACAATGCGCGTTGTTTCCTGTATAGAGGGTTCGCAAACGTTTTTCTACGTTGTATGGGAAATAACCGTGATATCGGACTCAATGTCAACTTAGAAGCCCTCAGTCACTTGATTCACAACTATTTTAACGACTTTTCTGTATTTTGCGGCCCACGCATAGAAAGTAGCAAAACTGGATAAAACTGGTGTCTTTGATTTGGTGGTGCGTTTTCTACAAACTTTCTGGAATAACGGGTGTAAACATTACGCTTGAAGGCAGAAAAATGGCAGTGATCCTCCTTGTGGACTTGTCTGTTGCATTTAAGACAGAGATGCTTTTTGAACGGACAGAGTCGGACGAAGTGCCCTTCCTCACGTTGCCATCTGCGGATGGTGGCTTACTTTGCCTCACATGCTTCGAAAGATTCGTTGAACTTTCGCGCTGGTATGACACCGCAATGGAGCATGAAATGTGGCCCTGAGCATTCAGATTTGTGTCATGTTCCAAATTGTAGAGACTCTGGTATTCGGAAATGATGGACATGAGATTGCTATATGGATCCTGATCAATCTTCTTATGCAGACTCGTGCGTATTTTTCTATCCTCGAGCCATTGGGGAACACAAACAAAAATTAGCCCCTTAACCTGGTCATCCACCATATCCTTCAGGTTGAATCGCTCGCAATCACAGTTGACGGTACTGGCGTAAATGCGAAATCGTCTGACACTTCTAACCAGCTTCATATAACTGTACCGGACGCTGGATAAAGATTATTCACCAAAAACCTCATTTAGCAATTGTACAACTTGGTCGAGTCTTAAATTGGTTGGGGCGTTTAGGCAGGAACTTTCCGTGCACTTTCATCCCCAGCTTCCGCAAGAGCAGGCTGCATTTCCATCGGTCGTCAACATCAGCGAACTCCGAGCGAAAGCATCTTCGTATCTTTTGAGCCAAGATTCAAAGATCAAATCTGCATCCGGGTCCTATTTAAACTCGCAATCGCTGTTTGTTGTTGCCGCTTTTCTGTGCTTGGTCTTGTGTGCACTACAAGACGCTGCAAAATCTTCTCGATCAACCTTGGCTGGCTGTATTCAAATCACTTATGTTTGTGTTGTAATGTGGCGGTCAGTTCCTCAGCTGAAAATGACATTCTTGAGTTCACCAACCAAAAATGCGCTGTCACCAGTTTTGGTCCCCAAGGTCACTCCGGTCGCTCTGATTACTTGATAGTAAGACGGCCTTCAAGTACCAGTTTATTCGTCAGAAGTGACAGCGATTTCATGTCACATGCTAGCGGTTCTTTGTTCTCTTTCATTCTTCACTTAACACTAATAGTACCAGACGGTTCTGGGACACTTCTGGTACATCAGTGAGCTCTTTTGCGGATTTCTAGCTTAATGATCCGATTTTATGGATATATGTCACTCTGTTCGATTCCTCAAGAAGTCCTCCTTACAGATTACGATTAATCAGTCCCGTATTTTTATTTCAGGTCTTCGAAAACAAAGTTCCTGTATCTCACCCTGGTCCAATGTATAGTATACTCCTACCCACTTATAACGAAAAAGAGAACTTGCCAATTGTGATATGGCTCATCGATAAGTACATGAAAGAAAGGTAAAGAATTATTTCTCTGTCCCGTTATCCGCTTTCACGCCATTACCTTTAGTTTTTATGCTTTTTTCGCTGCCTTTATAGCTCATTTTTGCGCCCCTGATTGCTAGCGGTTTCGCTCATCCTATTAGCCTGTTTCTTGTTACGAGTACTGTATCCTAGTGTACACGAGGTTGCATCTCCTTGTACTACATTCCCACTTCTGTTCGTTGCTTAGCCCTTCCATTTGGCCATTTGTGACGTATGTTATTGGCCGGAGCTCAGCCCACCTTGTCAATCGCGAGGTTTATCTCGGCATTATCCATTGTATGCTTCTCTAATCTGGTGACAATTTGCTTGACCTTCCAAATTTTCCCGCTATTCCGAATTAAACACTTAAAATTCTCCGCAAGTCTTCTAGCCCAGCCAAAGCAAAATCAGAAGTCCACCGACCTTGATCGAGAGAAACGTGTTAACCAAACGCCACTAAAACGCTGGACAACTGCCCCAGACCTTCGTCAGATTTATATGTTACTTAATTGCCCTAGACCTCTAGTAAACGAATGACAACTGGTGAAATTAGTAGATTTCTTGCAAAACCGTATGTTGGCAATCAGGTGAAGGAATGGAAGGTTCCAGAATCTTCGAAATCAATGCACAATCGAAGTTAATCGATTAATTGCTGAATTAGCGGGTTTTCCCTTCTGAGATGCCTGCCGTGGGGCATGGTGGTAGCCTGTGGTTCACTTGAAGCCTTTTGGACGGTGTTCTGTGCCTGTCGATCCATCGCTCTGGCTGAAGCGTTCTGGATCCGCGTTCCGTGCTCTGCGGTCTGGTATCATTCTTCTGCTGACTGGGTTCTTCCATGGGCTCTTTTGGCAAGATGAAGCTGTCTGTCAGCAGATCAAATGGGACCTCGGCAGAGTTTGTTGCTTATGGCTGACACAGAGTCGATCGCAGTTGGTTTGCATGGCGTACCCATATTTGCGTCCCAACCAGCACGTCGTAAATGACGTTCCCGCACTTGTCCTTTATCTTGCCTGGCGTCTTTATGGCGTGTCCTTTCCGGTAATCACGTCAAGTACGTACTGGCCCGGCTTTAAAGGCCGTTGCTTGGCACTCTACCTCTGGTTGAAACCACTTTCCACCTTGAGATTCCTTTCACTTGTTGTGCGCTTTTTGGACGGCCGAACTGCACCAAAGGGCATGCGTAGCTTTCTCTTCATCATTGCCTTTGTTGGCGACACTCCGACGTTTGTGGATTTTGTGTACATCGGCACAGAAAGAGGAACCGGTCTATCACCTCCTCTGTCTCCATCCTCTGTATCCACAAATATCTCCGCTTGGCCGTTCTTTTGTGGCTAGTATGGTGGGAACCACATGTGTTTGATGGCGCAACGTTTGAAGAACTCCGTGAATGTGACAGAAGTAAACTGTGTTCCGTTGTCCGTCACCAATGTTACAGGGTAGCCGAACCCGCTGAAGATTTGTCGCAACCTTGAGACCGTTGCGCTGGTTTTCCTGATGCTCATGTGTTGAACACTTCGGGCTGCTTGCTGTAAGCGTCGACCACTATGAGAAAGTTCTTGACGTTGATTAGGCCTACAAAATCGACATAAACACGGCTCTAAAGTTTAGTTGGTTTAGGCCACGAGTGGATTTCAGTCTTCGGCGGTGCCCTTGAAGCAGTAGCGCCGTTGCTACAACTTCTAGCTCCAGCTCTCTGTCCATAAATGGCCAGTGCACAACTTCAGGCAAGCAGTTTCATTCTGTTGAGCCTTGGATGCCCTGCATGGAACTGCCGTATCACTCTTCCTTTCGATAGCTGCGGGATGACTGCTCTCTCCGAAAACCTGATGCACTAGTTCACAATGGAGGGTGGATGTTGTCGCTGATAGAACCGCTGCATTTCGACGGAGGAACGTAAACATGGACAGCTGGTTCTATGGAGGTGTGTGACCTACTTTAGGATTGGATCTCGAACCGTATCGGCCCGCACAGTTTCTACCATAACTGGCAAATCATGTAATACCTCGCTTATCAGGTTCGATCTCAACTGAGGCTATGATCGTGTCCTCGTGTTCTTGCTGATGGGAATCAATGAGACATGACAACGCATCTGCTTGGACCATAGAAACCGTTGACTGATAACGGATTTCAAAATCATAGCCTAGTAAGGTGAGAGCCTATCGTATGAGTCTCTTGGCTGAGTAGACAAGAATGCCTTTTTTCTATCCGCAAATGGTCAGTAGTGGCTTGTGATCCGTCAAGAGCTTGAAGCGGCGCACATACAGCATCTTGTGAAATCTATTCACAGCAAATACCAAGGCTAATGCCTCCTTCTCGATCTGGCCGTAGTTTCATTCGGCTTTCGCCTGCGTCCTGGCTTCATGTGCGATCGCCTTCTGAAATCCATCTGGGAACGTATGGGGAGCTACGGCACCGATCCCTAGACATTATGTGTCTGTGACGAGGGCAATTTTTTGGAACGGGTCAAAGTGAGCCATAAGTAGGTCTGAAACCAGCAGTGACTTGACCCGCTCGTAGGTAGTCTGAAATTCTGACGTCCGGTTCCACGTTTGGCCTTTTTCAGTAACTTGTTCATCAGGACGTGCAAGCGATTCCTTTTGAGCAGAAGTGCGCTAACTTGATTAATGAGGCCACAGAATGAACGCATAGATTACAGGTCCGCAGGCGGACGCATCTTTTGTATAGCTCGGATATTTTCTGGATCAGGGCGACGACCGTCTTTCCCGAAAATAATGCCGAGGAACTTGATGGTTGGTGTAAAAAAAACGTACATATATCCACGGAATCGGTCTCATGTTCACTAGCAGCAGGCAAATCCTCGTGTGGTAAGTCTGATAGCCCGCCCGGACATTGGGTCTCTTTGCAGTCTCTGGAATTTATCGATGCTCGCCGGCACATTCCGGTTGGAAGCGAACACAATGCGACTCGTTGAAACCTTCGGGCAAAACAATGCTAGCCGGAGATGGACCGCAAATCCTGGTGGTCTTATCGTGCGTCAGAGATGGAAGCGGTCACTACCCATAGTAGTTTTCGTAAGTTATTCCATCTGCTACGGGGAAACGAGCAGCAGGAGATCTGATATTGGTGAAACTATACGTGACTTGAGTGTGTATTGAACTGGAGATTCCCCCGTATGACTGTGTAAACTATTCTAAAATATATTCAAATTATAGCTTTCTTATGTATTAGGGAACTAGGCGGTTTGCCTGTTGGAACATTGTTCCCGTTTGTTGGAAACACGAATACGATCTCGGCCTTTGGCGCGCGACTCGACTGCAAACGACGCTCCGTCAACGCACTCGATGCCGACGCCATTCTCCCTAGCTAGCTCTCTTCTGGTGCCCTATTCTTAGCATTAGCTAACTCTCCTCCCGTTCAGTAAACTTTTTCCCTAGGTTACTTTTGTGTGTTTTACCTATTGCCTACCTACCTACCTACCTATTGGTTGGCCGTCTAGTCTCGTACCGGACATATAGCGCACGATAATCGCGCTATAAGTGAATAGCCTATCCACGACTTGCCAACACACTTGGAACGTTGGGCTGAGCACTTTGAATGACAATTTAATCGGTCGGAATTTCCAGTTTTCTCGTCGGTCACTGATCCTTGTTTCCATAGGCTGTTCCTTTGGATCCGTTCTTTCGCTCAGATGTCGCATGTGAGATCCGATTGTTGAAGTTGTGTAACACCGCGGGACCAGATACTCCAGCCCTTTTCAAATTCGGCGCACCTGCTCTTGTCGATGATTTACACGAGTTAATAGTGCAAATTTAGGAGCATAATACTGTCCCAACCGCCTGCAGCCGCTCTGTCATAGTCCCAATTTTCAAGGATGACCCACCATCGGAATGCGTTAAGCATAAAGGAATCAGTTTGATCTCCTTCGCCTCCAAATTGTTTGCTACTGTCATTCTTCACAGACTGATTAACATTCGCGAAGTCCAGATTCATGAGGAGCAAGCCGGGTTCCAAGGTTGAGACTGTATCGATCACATATTCACCTTGCGTCAGTTGTTGGAGCACCGCCACATAGATTGGCGGCCTACCGTTGTCGTGTTCCTCGACATCAAAGCTGCCTTTGATTTGGTTAATCGATGGGACCTTTGGGACTGTCTACACAGGAAACGCGTGTCCGGGAAATATGTAATTATTATCCGAGCATTATGCGCGCGTAGTATGGGCAGAGTGAGGGCTTATGGCAAGTTGTCGCCGCCATTCGATATCTCCAGCGGTGTGAGACAAGGATGCCACTCTCACCTTTCCTCTTCAGCTTCGCTGTTGACGAACTCATAGAGATCGCGTTCACAGGACACGAAGTTGAAGGTGTTGATCTGCTCCCAGGAGAACGACTTTTTGACTTGAAGTATGCTGACAATTTTGCCCTCATTTGTGACAGCTCACAAAAGTGCCAAGCGGCACTGGACAGATTAGCACTGGCTGTCAGCCACTTCGAGCTCTGTTTTGCACCCTCGAAGTTCATAGCTTTCCTCCAAGATTGGCATGGAGCGCCTCCCACGCTGACTCTTGGTGATGATTAGCTATAAGTCGTTCAAAAATTCAACCACTTGGGAAGCTGTAACAGCGCTTTTGGGGGTCGATTATGAGATCACGAACCGTATAGCAAAAGCTCGAGGCGCTTTTGCTAACCTTCGCCACTTATGGCGCTGGCGCGACATCACTCTCGTTCTGAAGGGTAGAGTGTACAATGCAACGGTACATTCGACCCTACTGTACAGTTATGAAACCTGGCCCCTTAGACCAGCCGACATAAATAGACTAGTTACGTTCGACCACCGGTGCCTTCGCATCTGGTGGGAACATCGCGTAAGCAACGATTGTGTTCGACGCCTTGTTCACGGCACAGGAAAAAGAAACGAACCGCTCAGCACCGTTGTGTCACGCATCAGACTTCGGTGGCTCGGCTACGAATGCCAGTCCACCGGCTTTCTCAAAGTGCGTTGTTTGCGCGCCGGGGGTGGATTGTAGATGAGGAG